GGTTCAGCTTGAATTTGCGTCAGACCTGATTATTTTGCGTCACAATTTTTTTTTTATGCGACAAGATACAGGAATAAATAGCGTATTGTACGTGTTCCAAGTGTAACTTATAAATATATAGTTCTTAATTTAAAATATAATCGAAATTCAGTCTCGTTTTTCAAAAAAGCTACTATAATTAAAGCTATACTGTATTATGGTTCAACTAATCCTCTTCTCTTTCTTCGGTCAAACTCGTGACAATTTTATGTATTTGATAATATTGTTATCAATTGGCTAATGCAGAAAGTTAATCGTATCACTTTAAAAGGACTAAAAAAGCGACATTATCCAAATCATGATGCAGAAATGATCGAATCGTGAAGTCGCTATCGACCGACAATGTCAGCCTCAGGTGGTTCGCTGCGCGCATTGTGTATTGTTTGGCTCGGAGGCGGCGGCGGCGGTACAACCCTCTGCCGGCATGCTCGCTTACAGCTCGGGGACGGATTCGTGGAGGTGGTGAGAATCGACCAATGGGGCCGCGAGGCACACCCGCGCAGATCACAATGCTCATTGTTGTCGTCGGTCTGTCCGCCCACATCTTCCACCACGGGTTTGCCGATCGTCCCTGTATTCTCTCGCCCAGGTAGAAATTCTCGAGTCGGCCCCAAATCGGGAAGAGACGAACGCATTTTATCGCCATTATGCTTTGCCGTTGCGTAACGAGTGCGAATACGAGCGCTGTATGTAAATCTTATTACTTCAGTTGCGATTAAATCGGCAAATCGCATTGCAAATCAAAGAATAACTTGGAAATTTAACAAGATGCAAGTTGCAAAAAATGCATTCTTTAGTTTGATAGAATCTTCGATCCTTTATCACCCACCAATGTCAAACCCACACATGTCAATATACATATGTATGCGTTGTCGCATTCCTTGTAACTCTCAACTGTTTTCCGCAGAAAGAAACGTATGAGAGACTGACGTTGGGTCGTATCTCTTTCATGTTTTCCTACTCCCATCCTTCCACCCTCTTTTTTCGTATTCTCAATGTCCCAGCGCACCCTTAACTAGAGCCTCTTACCATCCCCCGAGCGTACTTTGCCGTGGCCACCGCGTAATTCGTCCATCCGTTGCGCCCCGTCTGACCCTTTCCGCGTTAGACCGCAAATCGATGTTCTTTTCCTCTCAATTAAGATCGATTGCGGTTCAGGCCATTTTTCGCGTATAAACTTATTTTAAGAAGATACTTCAAGAAATTATATGTAACTATCAATCATATAACGCGACACATAACTATTTTATAATCTCAAACTTTAGAAACATATGTGTTGTGATGTTTTATTCGGAAAAATGATATTAGGATAGTAAAATATTGCGCATTGTTGGATTACACGGTGCAAAAGCCGTGTTTTATCTCATGTTTAGGCCGAGATCAGAACCCGCACATTTTCCGCTGCGGGCGGGCGCGGTTAGTTTAGCGCAGAAACGCGAGATGCACCATCGTTGCACGGGAGCGGTATTAACGCGGTGGCACGCGGGATACCATGCTATTCCGGTACCGGTCGCGGGTGCGGGAGCCGACAAGAACAATGAGTGTTGTACGCGTTCCGCGTATTGCTCGTGCATCCTCTTGCAGAGTATGCCAGGCACTATAGTGGGTATGGAAGAGAGAGAGAGAGAGAGAGAGGCGATTGGAATCGCGAGGGAGAGACAGAGAAAGAGGGGAAAAAGAAAGAGAAACGAGATTTATGCGAGGCGGCGGCGTCGGTGGCGTCGCAACGTTTTGCTCGCCATGCTGGACGTCGCCGTCGTAGTCGTAATCGTCGTCGTGGTTGTCGACGACCACGACCACGACGACGACGACGACGACGACGACAACGAAGAAGAAGTGCGGGTGAGAGAATCTGCGTATAGGATGAGGAAGAGGATAGGAGGGAACGGACGCGCGAGGCCGAAGTAGAGAAAAAGGAAAAAGACGACAAGGATGACAACGCAGCCGTGGCCGCTTGTGAATGAACATTGGCTTGCGAGCGGCGTTTCCGGCCGCTCTCTATCTCTCTGTCTCTCTCGTTCTTTCTCGCAATTTCTCTCATTTCGCCCCGTTCTCTCTCCCACCCTGCCCCTCGTACAGTAGCTTCACTCCGATCGCTCCTCTATCTATTCGCGTCCTTCTCTTCTCATGAATGAGAGTCATCGAGTAGCGATCTTACGACAGAGAAAGAGAGATAGACGTAGAGCGTGTCGAGCGAAGTGGACGAAGAAGGACGAAGGAATGACAGAGAAGTGAGCGGGAGGCTGGACGGACCGTTAGCCTTAAGTCAAACGGTCGCAACGGGGTCTGGGACGAATTTAGATCAGGAACTGAGAGAACGAAGGGAACGAAGCCGCTCAAACCCCCCCC